CTTCTCCTGAAATATCCCCAAAGGTGTCTAAGTACTTCTTCACTGCCTTCATTTCCCACATGTCTTTTCCTGAGTGTGAAGAAGTGCTTATGTCTAAATAAGATTATTTCTCAAAATTCATTAAACAATTGGAAGTGGTTATGCTGATCATTATACGATGTTTTGTTAGTGCAGTATTCAATTATATGTTGGTGTTCAGTAAAACGTCCCTAGAGCACGTGAGCAAATCTTCAGGCTCAAAGTAATTCTGTAATTTCTGTAATATCTTTTTTTTTAAAGGTGCATTTCCATTGATATATCCTCTTCCCTTGCATGAGTCCCCTCTAATTGTCTTCCTTCACAGAGTGAAATGAAAAATAAATGAATTATTCAATGAAGGCACTTGTTTCTTAGTTCAAGCTTTCAAATGTCAAAGTAGAGAAGCTTTTTTTCCCTCTCTGAGGGATCTAATGGTATGTGAGTGAGTTTTTGGTAATAGCTCTATTTTTTGTGCTTATCATATTCTCTGTAATTGAACCAGATGTTAAGTCTTCTCTGGAGGAGAAGAGTCTTCTCAGTTTATGTAGTAGCGTATCAGTCTTGTGTCCCAAAAGATTTGAGGTTAATGTGAAAATGAAATAGTAAGGCAGATGCTGTATGTAATGTTCCTGTAGGTGGGTAATCTCTTTTGGACTGAAACACTTAAAAAGGTGTAACTCAGAGGAACATACTACATGTAACAAATGGTTGGATGATAAGTTGTTGAAGGATTTTTTTGACAGTCAGTCAAAGTCCAACACTTTGTATGCAATGGGATATTTGCTGTTGTAATAGTTCTGCAATGATGAAAATGGCTCATGAGGTCAAGGCTAAGGGCTGTGGGGACATACTACACTATTTGTGGGTGATGTACAGAAATGTTTTGGAGGGGAAACCCCTGAGTATGTTTCAGCTACTTAGCTGAGCTATTTCTCACCCATTTGTATTGATATGTCAGTAAAGAATACATGTAAGTTTTACTTTTGTGTTAGGATGAGGTACTGGGGAGAAGTGGGGCAAGTGTGCCTGAGTCTTCTCTTTTCTTATATCTTGGTTTCCACCAGAAAGAAGCCTGACTTCATGTGTAGGAAGGAACCATAATGTTCTGAAGTCCTGCTTTCCATTTCTAAGGCCCTTATGTATACCAAAAGGCTACTAATGCTCTTACAGGCACACGTAGAACTAACACCTCACATTATCCATGAAGTGCTGCTGCCATTTAATTACATAAAAACCCAGGATATGCAAATAGCAAATGTGTATTTCCAGAATACCATGTCTCCTATGAGGTATGGTTCAGTAATTTGCCTACACAGAGATAATAATCCTTGATAAATTTTTTCTTTTATTGATTGGAACCCAACCTGATTTGGTTATTTGTTTAAACACCTGAACACATTTTTGTGCTGAATTCATTATGCATTTTATAATTTTGATCTGTTTCTACATTACCCCTAAAATGAAGAATTTCTTTTGTTACCTTCTTTAGCATTTGTACCTATGTGTTGTGGTTAATTTTATTTCACTTGAGTTGATCAGCTTGTGGTTAAATATGTGTTCAACACAAATTCAGAATCCAGATTTTTTGGCACACTCCATCTTTTGTTGTCATATTCACCAACTCAGAACTTGTCATTTTCAGATGGGATGTAGAGTTGTATGGGTTTTCTTGTATGTATTTTTTCAAGTAGCAACACTTGGTGGTGGTTATTATCCAGCCATTAAACCAGAGAGTCAGCCTGTGTATAACTAAACCAGAGCTGCTTCTAATTTGATGCAAAACACTTTAAATTGTCAAGATAGCAAAATGGATGGAGAACTGAGAAAGAAAAAGTATGTAGGGAGAAGACAAATGCTAGAGTAGGAATACTACGTTATTTTTCTTTTTTTTTTTTTTTTCCTTCTTCCACAGCTAGAAATTCTTTAGAAGTGGGAGCTCTTCCAGTCATTATCATTTGGGTAAAAGAGGCATGTAAGCATACTTAGAGTTTTACAATGGAGCCTTTTAGCAGTTTTAAAAAATTCCAGAAATTGTGTTTTAAGGTCTTTCAAAATGTGATTTGTTTACCCTTAGGTAGAAGTGAAATGGAGAAACCCATTTTCTCAAGTTCTTTTGTATCTTGTTAAGCAATATAGCAACTTTGGAAAAAAAAGGGAAAAAACATCCTTCAGTTACAGACAAGGGAGATATTTAGTTGAGGGACCGAAGGCAGCTCATATTTTTTCAGAGCTAAAGAACTTAGCTTCTTGCCAAAACTCTTGCTTTTCCCAGAGAGTTGGTCTGTGCAACTCAGCATCCCTTCCTAAGCCCTGTTTCATGCTCACTGCACAGGTGAAACTAGTGTGTACAGAGTGAATTTGGTGAAGTCCAGTCCCTGTAGGGGCCACAGTGCTCAGTCAGATTGAGGTAGTGCTGGAGGGCATTCTATTGAATTCCTCTTACACTGAAAGGATGTTAGAGCTGAAAAATTGCTATGGAACAATGTGAAGGAGTTAAGGGATTTATGAAAAAGAAATCCCAGCAATCCAAATAATACTCTCAGTAGTTAAACCAGAACTTCTAATGGCACCAATACAGTGGTTTGTTTCCTGTTTCCTCTTAGGGCAATGTTACCATTCCAAAATATGAGCCACAGCAAGACTTCCATTAGTTTTTGTCTATCATATGATATTTGGAGTTATACTTATCCTTTTGCTAGATTAATTTTAGTGGATATATTTATTTAACTATATTATGCTTGCAAGAGTCTCCTGGTACATTAGACTTGTAAATGCTATCAGGTAAAGCAGTTACATGTAATTAATATTTTTAAAGAGTAATGGTATCAAAATGCAAATAGATAACAGGAAACCAGCTGTAAACTCTACTCCTCAGCTTTCTTTGAGCGTCCTGCAACCTTGCCTTTAAATAACTACTTTTAGGGAAAGAAGCTAGCACAGGAATAAAAGGTCACAAAAGTAAACTTCAGCCTGCTTTTGATAGTTTAAATTGTTGTTCATTTTTGGTTCCAAGTGATTCACACCAGCTGTGCCCATACTGAGAAGGGTACAAGTTTAATTGAAGTGAATCTGTCTGGGTCTGACTTTAAAGAACTAGTTACTGTTTCAGAGTAGATTATTTTAGAAATTTGTGCTTAAGAATCATGATTAATGCTGTTGCAGCCTGTTTTCTACCTTATGCTTCTGACTTTAGACCCCAAGAAATTTCATATTACTATTAGAACATTAGCCTTGTTTGAACTCAAAAATTATTGCAATTAATGATTTCATTTTAATAACATGAAAGGTTGGATGTTTTGATAACCTGACATGTTTTTATCAGGATGTATTAAGTTCTTCAGTTCTTTTATGTGTGAACCTCTGACTTTTATCATATTTAAATATGTCAACAGTAGCTTCTTGGAGTATGTCTGCAGAAGTGGTAATAGAAGAATAAACAAACTAGCTTGCAGTTTGGCATTATGTAATATAAGTTACCTTTAATACTAAAACTTAGAAATGTAGGCCATACTAGCCAAGTGTGATGGATTTTCCTCAGTATTTCAGGGGTTTGTTGGAGAGCACTGAGCTCATGGTACTTTGCCCTGAATATCCAGCATTCTCAGCTGACCCAAAGCAGATATTTTCAGCATATATCTTTGTCAGCCAGGACTTAGAGTATCCTTTGCTTGAAGGTAACCAGTCATGCCTGGCATTCCTAACTTCTTTCTTACAAATCCAAAAGCCTTTGAAATCCAGTTTAAGGATGGCTTAGCAACCAGATCTGCATCATGTAGCTTGGCAAATATTTGTCTGTCCTACAAAAAAGAAACCCTAATTGAGCGTGCTGGGACAATCTCACTTGTAGTCAGTGAGTGCTGTCCAGTTCTGTGCAGCCAGTGGTGTAAAATCAGTAAGAGAGTATGGGTGAGTCCAGTGTTCACTGGGTTTACAAACTTCACACATGAAGGGCAAAGCTTCAGTGTTACACAGGCATGAGATTTTTATAGGGCTTTCAGTGTTTCCTATCACATGTTGTGTCCCTGGAACTGCTGTTCAGATGTGTTTTCTCATAACTTTGAGAACGTTTCTAGCATGCATTTCATACATGCCTTTTGTTCTGGACAGCTTACTGATTAAAACCTGTAATTAGCAGAGCTAGAGTTTTCATGTTATTCTTATTAGCAACGAATCTACATTTCATGTACTTGCAATTGTACTTTTTGATTCTTAATTTTCATAAAAATACTATATTTTAGCAGGAAGAATCAAGAGAGCTCTAGGAAAATAATCTTGCTTAGAGGCTAAAAGCAGTTTTTATCTTTACCCAAGAATTTGGAGTTTGGAAAGGAGAAGTCAGCTTACTAACTACACATTGCATGGGAGTTTCTTTTCTGGGTATTCTGTGGGGTTGTGTTTTGGGGTATTTTTCCCCTTACTGCTTATTGTGAAGATCTACAGGATTTGAAGGTGCTTTGAGAATTTCTTTGCTCTGGGCTTTTGATGCAGTCCTTCGACCTTGTGTGAATAACAATAACTTAGTAGCAGCTATTAAAAAAAAAACTTAGCAAAAAATAAAAGGGGAACATTGTAAAGTGCAGAGTAACTACAACTCCAATCTTGTACAAGTGATACTTTAAAGAAAAAAATCCAAGTCCTTCATGTGTTGAAGGATAAGGCAGTTTTGAAACCTGATCAGTTTGAGTGGTCTGTTTAATCTCCATGAGCTTCTTGCCAAGCAGTCATATTGGAACACTGCTGAAAAGAGAAATGTTAAGCTCCATACGTTTGATATACTTGAAATAATTGTTTGTCAAGAACTAAATTAGCTGTGTGTTCTCACAGTATTTAGAAAAATAACTTCATTTATCACAGTAAAGTTTCAGTATTTGCATTGAATAAACTGAGTATGGATACTGCCATATTATGAGGGTTCCTCTGTAATAACATGAAGCACTTACGTATGTATATATTTATTTGTTATTTATTTACTCTTTTCACAGACACTTCCTTTGGGACTGGGAGATGGACAGCTCTTTACCTGGACTGATGGCTTGAAAAGGAAGGACTGGCATGATTATGAAAGCATTCAAAAAGATGCTATGCGTTCAGGTATACATGAGTTCAGAACAAATTGAAGTGGCTTGTTTACTCCTTCTTTCTCTCTCTGTTTGTTCTTTGAGTCCTTTAGGAGGCATTCCTAACAGCTTTTTTTTGATTGCAGCAATGTCACAAGGTCATCATGTTCTGAATTAAGAGGTCAGACCAAGCACAAATAGCTTATCTCTGAAAGTAGCCAAGTGATAATGTGTTCCCTGCTAGTAACTAAATAATGATTGTACAATCAGCAAAAATGTTATCAACAAATTATTTTCCCTGTTGAAGTCAGTTGTCAGACTTTGACCAAACAGAGTGTTGGTTTGCAAAAGGACATGTTACAAATAAAGCCAAATCATCCTTAAGTCTATGAACAAAACCCAAGTTGAATACCTGTAGCTGCCAAGAACCTTTGACACTTCTACCATTCGATCCTTTAGTCTTGTTAAGCAACTTCATCTCGTTCTGACAGTCTACAATTATTTGGAAATGGGAGAAAATTGTGTTTGCAAATAGACTGAAGGACACTTTGTTACAGTGAGTAATGTAATTTTAATGTACCTTCATGTGCTGCATCCCATACGTGCAGAGAGTATGGTTTGTGTTCCTCTTTCTGTCATCAGAGCATGTTCAGATTTGAATTCTTCTTTTACAACATAATATACAACTATTCAACATAAGATGAATTAAATTAGAAGGAAGGAAGAGAAACAGCAGTTGAATTACGCCTTAATCAGTGTTTGGAAGTCATTATTTTACAAAGGCCAATCTACTATTGTAAAAGAAATTACGCTGTCTTGATCCCACTGTCTTGAGACAGCCAAAACCTCCCCAAAATATCTCTATAACTGAATCTCGTTGACAGATTCATAAGACTTGGTAAGTACTCAATTTTGCAGGAGCCTGAGCTAGTAAAATATTGCAAGTGTATGTTAATTTTTTCAGCTATTTTTCCCTTTCTCTTTTGAATCTTGATCACTAACTAAAGAAATTATCCTTTCCTCCCACATGTGTTTAGGAGGTAAAAAAGGTAGGGAGGAGAAGCAAATTATTCTTGGCAATTTGGTAGTTGTCAGATCAATAATTGCTGTCTTCCAAATTGCTACATGTAAAATGACAAATATGTAAGAGAGAATGTACAAAGCAAAAGCAGCATGTATGTGGAAACTTGCATATATGTAGGGAATATCATTGCTGGTTGGAACGGACATGCATGGATGCTTTGGCAATGTACCTTAATTTCTAAATATGTAGTGTGGACCCCATATGTTTTGGACAATAACAGTAATACTTATGATTGTCTGATGGCTAGCTTAAGGCATTGCCAGTGTAATGCAAGCCATTGCATGGAGTTGGCTGAGAAACTGAAAAAAACATGTTATGTAGCTTTGTAATTCCCAGTCCTAAACCTAACATAACTGTAGTAGCATGTGAATATTAAGATATTCTGACTTATTTCCATTTTTTTATTTTACCATTTGTTGACTTTGATATTTGAGAGCTATCTTTTAAATAATTTATATTTTTCATCATTATTCAATAGATTAAAATACCTTGTAATGCTCTTTTCTTTGAAAATCACAATATGGTAATAGAAATGCAAAGCTAGAGCATCTCAGTGCACTCTTTTGGGACATACTATGTAATTTTTCTTCGTAATGACATTAGCTGAAATTATTAGGTAAAACAATTAGTTTAAAACTAATAATTTTAACTATTAATTAAATAGTTTCAGTAAATAGTTTAAGTAAATAGTTAACTATTAGTTAAAAATCTATCTGAAAACATGATGTGAAAGGGCTTCTCAGGACATTTCAGGAAAGGCAGTCAATGCTTGTTGTACAGAAAAGAAGAAAGGAGTGAAGCATTTTTTTTAATTCAGTCTGGCTGTTTATCTGTAAAGCTTACGATTTCCTAAGCACTGAGGATGTGAATTTCATAATTTCTAATTATGGAGAGATACTAGTTTCTTCATGACTGCTACTGTTTTGTGGACAAATATTTTGATCCCTGCTCGTTCCACCAATTAAAACCCATGTTTCTGAATTTGGTCTTCCCTCTTGAAGTCAAGAGTAAACCCTTTTGCAAGATGTGCAGAAGAAAAAGGTATTATTTCTATTTATTTTAAGTGTTTGTTACTTCACATTTTGTTAGCATGGTGGTACTAATTGAGAAGGTACTTGAGGGGAAAGATGGAGAGGAAGGCTGTACACGTAGCCAGAACTTAATTTAAAAGCACTTTTGCAAGTCTTTGTCAAGATTTACAAACCAGTTCTAACAATATTAATTGGTTAATCTTTGCAGAAAAATTCAAGAAGACAGGGAACTGCTGTTGTGTTGTAGAAGGACTAATTGTTATACTGTTGGTGGGACAGGGAAGTTACCTATTTAGTTGCCAGTTATCCAAGCCCTGATTCATGCAATGTCAGAAATTCCTTTCCTATATAATGACTTTCCTTTCCTATATAATGACTCAAATATACTTCTTATAATCTTATCAGTACAGAATAGATGTAGTGAAATGAAAATTAAGTTATTCTGTCAACCCAATCACTTCCGTTCTTCTCTGAATATTATTCTGTCATTAGCTCAAAACCAGTGACTGAAATATAGCAAAAGAAAAGCAAAAGTTAACCTTAAACAAAAGAGTAATTCTTAAAACAGTTGTGATAGATACTTGGGAAGAAGGAAAATAAAGAAGTTTAATTGCTTCCATTTTCTAAAGTGAGCCATTAGGTCAGTCAGATATTACAATGGAGTGGGAGGGAACAAAATAAGCTAATCAGAGAAACTGACTTTAATGGAGTTTATAAGTCATGCCAGCTTTTTGACAAGAAATCAGAATTTAAAATAAGACCTAAGATCTGTTTCTATTAATTTCTTTTCCTTTGGGAATACAACTGATGACATGCCTTGATGAATAATATGCTTAATTTGCATTAAAAATATGAGAACTGTAAACAAATGCAAATCCTACATCTGTCAGTTTTTGTTTTGGTAAGTAATAAACAATGTCTTCTGTATATGAGAAGAATGATCTTGCTTTGGATTTCAGAGCGGTGCATGAGCGCAGCCTGCGTAGCAATGACCCAGGTAGCTCCTGGTGTGTGTGTTACCCCAGCTACAGCAGTGCCTGCTGGGTCAGGGCACTGTAAATCTACCTGTATCTCTACAGAGGGCAGAGATCCTGCATGCTGAGGCCCCTGGCTTTGCCATCAATCAGTTACTGTAGTTGCCATTTCTTCGTTTTATCTGGGACATCCCAACTTCAGTTGTATAGGGAGGACTCTGGGGACACTTCCACCAAGACATCATTTCAGGGTCATGGAAGCTGCTGTGGCTCTGATAGCACTGGTTTTCCATGGTTTCTGTGTAGAACTAGGAGTCTGAGATCCCTCAATGCTCCCATGAGGGATGAGAGTCACAGGAGAGAGCCATGAAAGCCTAAGGTAGTAATTCAGAAGCATCCATGAGAAGACATGATGTTAGTTTCACTTCTGTCTTTATGTCCTGGGTAGTGAGGCTGAAAGTCCTTAAGAATCAGTCAATGTCATTGTTCTTCTGTTTCTGAAAGTTATTTCATCTGTTTCACTCAAGAAATTCTCAGCTTTATCATCAATTACAAGTAGTAGCAGTAATGATGAATTGCAGCTCTTTTCAGGCAAGAGGAAGGATTCATATGTTTGATTCCTGGGCTTTTAAAGAAGTGCAGATTGAATGTTTATGTTCAAATATGGTGCTGTTTCTGATCATGACAATTTATTTCTAACTACTTGGGATAATTTTTCAATGTAAAGTGCTACAAAAGGGTAACAGAGTGAATAGAAAAAGGGAAAAACATAAGGTTTTATTCCTGACAGCATGCAATCAATTCTATCAGTGATATTAATAGCTGATAAGATGTACTTAGAAAGACTATATGCTGCAAGTGGGTTTTGTTTTCAATTTTTATTCTTTAAATGCAGTCTTTGATTTTTTCCTTTATAATGCTTTGGAGGTATTTTTGTCTGATTGCATGTGTATGCTGAAATGATTACATTCTATGAGGTGGATTGAAAATTTAGTGTAATAAACTAATTTCTGAGGGAATGTAATATATACGAAGCTATGCTAATATAAATTAAAAACTTTGTCTTCAAAAGAAATCAGCTAAGGAATAGACTAAGTGGCTGTCAATATTTTTATGTTTGACTGTTGAGCCATTTTGGTCTTGTCTGCTAATAGGATCTCAAAGGATAAAACCTTTTAGAAAGTACTGTAACACCTAGTGTCTATTCCAGCAGTTACTGAGCCATTTGCAGTCTTTGTTCCTCCTATTTGTACATTTAAATAGCATGTGGAAGCTTTGTGGGGAGGGAAGGAATGAAGGTTGTAATTCTTTCTGGTATTCAGTATTGTCTTTACCTTTCTGCTTCTTCAAAATGTTACCTTGACTGGGAGAAGAGGATTATAAAGATCTTGACCTTTCCGTGCCTCAGTGCAGGCCTTTCATAGAGATCAGTTCTATAAACAAACAGACAGGATGTTCTATAGTTCTACAAACATTCTTACAGAACAGTTTTATAAACAACCTAAGCAGAGATGTTGAAACATAAGTGACCTGTACATGTTTGTGATGACAGTGGAAATAGATTGGAGCTCTGTGTTCTTGGCATAGAATGTCAAAAGAAGGCAAAAGATATGGGCACTTTTGTACAGCAATAACAGGTAGTGAACAGCTGAAATATGACTTCAGTGTCACTTAAACTGTGCACTAGTGATCCTTTTCCATCACTTCTGCTCAAATATTTGGTTAACCCTTATAATAATTTTGAATAGTGCCCATTCTTAAATTCAGAAGAACTTTTCAAGCTTAGTGCCAGAGTGTTTCTAGGAGATATGAGGCAGAATGATACAGAAAGCACCATTAATTGCAATTCCCTATTTGGTATGAAAAAAATTAGCTCTGTGATGTAATAAAATTTGTGCAAGAAAATAAATGTATACTAAAATACTGGTGTACTTATGCCATATTT